GCTCCATAAACAACAAACTGGATAGGATTCTAGCTCCAGATAAGTTTACCAATTTTATACCCGCTTCAAGACTCCCACCAGTGGCCAAAACATCATCAAAAAGGACTACATTATCATCAGGTTTGAGAACATCCTTTTGAATTTCTACAACACTCTGTAGATACGAGTAAATTTAGAAAATACAGTATATGCTTAAGGCTGTGTTCAATACCAGTATAAGCATTCATTAACATTGCTACTCATGTAAATATAAATGATTTGATTTGATTTTACTTATCACAACTGAGATCATGATCATAAATATGCATATTTAGGATAGTGGACTGAGAATAACTGTTTATACTTCGGACAGACTTGGGCACTTAGTTTGTTCATTTTGAAATACACTGTACAAATACTGAAGAACTCAAGATCTGTTGTTTACGGAAGACAACTGAACAACAGTGACCGTAAATTTTAGTGATTCCAACACTTATACAGTAATAATGATTAGATCCCCAACATTGATATTGGATCCCCAGACTTACTATTGTTACGAAACTAAACACGGAGCCAAGCAACTATGGCTGGCTCATTAGTTCGACTACTAAAAGTAAGTACAAATCACTTTAAAGTAACTTGAGTATATATACTCAACCAATTAAAAAGGACAGTGGTATTTTTCCTCGCTGAGTAAATTTTATTGTTTTGATCGTTTACTACGTATCAAAACTACTGTTTTCACTTTAATTGAATTTGTTTCAATTAAAGTATTCGACTAGAGTATCGTTTACTGTTTCTTAATTAGTTTATCGTCGGTACTCTTGAGTACCTTATTTTCTACTGTATCTGTTAGTACTTTTGGTCCTAACAATCTAGTTCTCCACGTTTTTGGTCATAGATCATCTTTTTGTCTTTGAGCATTATTGCATCTCGCTCTTTTTTTAAAAGACCCCTTTCTAATGACCGGACAGTGCAAAAAAAGCAGTTGCCAACGTCCGGGTTGTCGTTATCCCGTTGAAAGCGGCATGCAGTGCGATGAGTGCAAAGGCTGGTACCACGAAGTTTGCACGAATTTAACGCCTGCGGCTTTCAAAAGGTTCAGTAAAAAGGGTTGCGTTTGGCTTTGTCAACAGTGCTGTCCGGATGCAAACAGCTTGTTTACCGAGGCCATCTCACTGCTAGATTCTGCGAAGTGTTGTAGCAAGCCTAGTCGGGACACATCAAACAGCACTCGCTCTGTCGACACGCAAATTGATATGAAGCGAACTCAGGTGAGTTCAAAATAGGTGACTCACATCAATCAAAAAAGGAAAAACAGTCTCCAAAGAGGTCTGTCTTAAACAAAAACTCAAGAAAAGAAGGTCCCTCTGTTCCCCGTCTTCCAAATGGCATCCAGCAGGAAACGCCTAGGAGCCGCAATCGCAAGGCTCGATCGGTTTCTAGCGGGAAACGTGACCTGACCTCCCAGGTCGTCGACAACTCTCCGGAATCCAACAGTAGGTTTGACGCAACTGTTGTTGCCTCTCCTAGCACTGTTAACGAATGAGTACAGGTTGTAAAGAAGAAATAACGTAGTGATATAAAAGGGGATCCTGCCCTCGTAAAAGTAGTCGAAAAATTGAAAGCTGATCACAGCGACAGATCAGTTATTTTTCATAGAATCAAGGAGAGTGAGAGTTCTGAACCAAAAGCTCGTTTTGAGCATGACATTGTGCTGATTAAACAGCTGCTTAATCAACTCATGCCTCAAAATATCACCGGGGTCACCTTGCTAAAGGTGTACGGACTAGGGAGTCTAGCGAACTTGAAACCAAATCAATCCAGACTGCTTAAGGTAGTATTCAAATCTTCGAACGAACGCGACCTAATTTTACAGAATGGACATAAATTAAAGGGTTCAGGAGTTTTTATCCGTAAGGACTCATCATTGGCAGACCGTGTAAAAAGACGGGAAGCCGAAAAAGAACTACAACTTAGGTTAGACGCTGGCGAAAAGGACCTGAAAATTGTAAATTTTCGGGTTGTAAGGCTTCGACAGAGAATGATGCCGAAGCCACTCTGGGTGAAACACGAAGCCACTTAAATAGGCTTCGGATCTGTTACACTAATGCCCGAAGCTTACTTAATAAGCGATCGGAACTAGGTGTACAGATTGACTCTATAAAGCCAGACATAATCGCAGTCACAGAAACCTGGCTGACACAGGCTATAGATAGTATGGAACTTGATTTCGAGGGTTTTACGTTAGTAAGGGCCGACAGAATACAAAAGCGTAAAGGAGGGGGAGTAGCTCTATTCATTAGGAATGCTATTCCATTTGCCATTATCGACAGTGTATCGCATGAGAGTGGGACGTGTGAATTAGTTAGTTGCCGCTTGAAATGCAAGGGACAAGAGCTGCTGATTGGTTTGGTCTATCGCAGTCCAAGCTGTGAGGCAAATGAGATCCTGTTAAGCAGTCTCAATACTTGGTCCAAAGTGGTCGATGTCTAATCCTAGGGGACTTTAATGCACCAATGGTAGACTGGGTAAATCTGCGAACTGAATCGTCAGAAAATTCCTTCGAGCAGGAACTAGTTGATGCGGTTATCACGTGTGCCCTAGTGCAACATGTGCAAGAAGCGACAAGGTACGACCCGGACACTGAATCATCCTTACTAGATCTTATACTGACTCACTATGAGGATGACGTTGCGAACCTCCATTATATGCCACCCCTAAGTAAAAGTGATCACGCAGTTCTAACTTTCGACTTCCATATAACTGTCAGTCACGAGCACGCGTCAGTCCAATCCAGACCTAACGTCTGGAAAGCAAACATACCAGATATCATGCACTCAGCATCGTTAGTAGATTGGACAATAGACCCAGAGTCCTCAATTGAAACGGCCTGGGACGCATTTCGAAATTCATACTTAATAGTTACCACACCTCACATTCCTTGGACTATACCAAGGGGGCCGAGAAACTCCCCACCATGGTTCAGTAGGGAGGTCCGCATCCTTCTCCGTAAGAGAAGATGTGGGATAGATTTAGATTACTGGGGATTGATGAGTCAAAATCTCAGTATCGAAAAGCTCGGAATACCTGTGTCTCGACCCTCCGTAAGTCTAGAGAGTTGTAAGAAGAAAAAATTGTTAAGAAATCCAGTGTCCTAAACGTTTGTATTCCTATGTAAACCAAAGGACAAAAAGAAGAGGAAATATTCCTGCTCTATGGGGAGAGCACTGCCGCATCATTAGTGGAGGACGACTTTGGTAAGGCTCAAGTGTTCTCGAACTACTTTAGCAATGTATATACCATAGAAGCACCCTTCCCGTCAGTGCATACAGATCCCCCCAAACATACACTGGATAGTGACCATTAAAGAACTCGATGTCTTTGGTCTACTAAATAAGCTTGACATAGGTAAATCCACGGGGCCCGATGAATTACATCCTAGGCTACTGAAGGAATTATCTAACTTCGTTGCGAACCCTTTAAGTATATGCTTTAACCTATCCGTAACGCAGGGTCGTTTACCCAAAGACTGGAAAAACTCCATAGTAAGTCCTGTCTTCAAAACAGGTACGAAACACAAACCTGAGAATTACCGCCCCGTTAGCCTAACTAGTGTGGTTGTTAAAATCTTAGAAAAGATTATTCGGAAGGAGCTGTTTAAGTATCTCGATAAAAACCGGATCCTCTCGGAGAAGCAGCACGGTTTCAGAATAGGTTACTCTTGTCTCACTAACTTATTAGTGGCTCGTGAAAGCTGGTGCGCTCTTAAGGACCAAAAGTTACCTGTAGACGTCGCCTTCATTGATTTCAGCACAGCTTTTGACAGTTCCGCACAACCAGCTGTTATATAAGTTAAGAAATGTCGGGATTGGAGGCAATTTATTGATGTGGATAAAAGACTTCTTAGTTGGGCGTCAACAAAGAGTAAGGGTGAACTCAAAGTTATCTAGCTGGGGAACTGTGCTTAGTGGAGTGCCCCAAGGTACAGTTTTGAGGTCAGTGCTATTCCTCTTGTATGTAAATGACCTTCCTCGTCTCCTATCATCATCGGTCTTGCTATATGCTGACGATGTCAAGATATGGAGAACGATACGATGTGAGGGTGATAGCTTAGAACTTCAAAATGACCTGAAGAAATTATCTGAATGGTCTCAAACCTGGCAGTTGCCGATAAATACTTCCAAGTGTGTTGTGATGCATATCGGTCATCAAGGTACAGATACATACACGATGAATAACACTGAGCTACCTGTCGTCCAGACATATAATGACTTAGGAGTCATCGTTAGCCAAGACTTAAAGACTACTGCACACTGCCGTGCAATAGCCGCCAAAGGTTTTAGAACGTTATGGTCAATACGTAGGGCTTTTAGTCATGTGGACGCTAAAACGTTTTTGACTTTGTATACAGTGTTCGTACGTCCTAAACTTGAGTACTGCATACAAGCGGCTAGCCCCTGCTTAAAAAAAGACAGTGAGCTTCTGGAGAAGGTTCAGAGAAAAGCAACTAAACTGATTCCCGGAATAGCGAAGCTTCCGTACGATGCTCGACTGGCCAAGCTAAACCTTTTCCCGTTGTCATATCGTTGAACTAGAGGCGACTTGATTACAGTTTTCAAATTGCTTAGTGTCAAATTTGCACCTGATATGCCCCCATTTTTCTTGTCTTCCAAAACAGAGAATTTACGAGGACACTCCAAAAAAGTTCACAAGCCAAGAACAAATTACTTGTCAGATGACTATCGACTTTCCCATCAAATCATCGAGTGGAATTTATTACCTCAGCACGTGGTTGAGGCTCCAGATGTCGACTCTTTCAAAAGAAGGTTAGATCAACTGAGAGACCACCATTGCCAGGACTAACACAGGCCTTCAAGCCTCCTGTCCTTCCCAAACTGAAACTGAAACTAATTCACCTATGCGGTTTTGGTTTCAGAAATAATCTTTATAAGTTATAAATCGTCGACACGAACTTACATTCCCATATTCCAATTCGTAGTTATAAGAGAAACAAGGACCTGGAAGTTTTCCTGCTTTTCGAATAGGGACGAAAGAGCAGTTCAGACGAAGGGCAAGTGCTGGTCCAAGTAGAAAACCACGTGACTCGAGACCCACAATAACGTTAATTTTCTAACATACAACAGATCGAGTGCAACGCATCTTACTGCAAATTTACGCTCTATCTCGGATGTAGCCACATAATATAATTCATCCAAAAGATATTGAGTTAAAACAGGGTCTCTAAAAACGCTAAAAAAGTCCCTTTATTAATTTAAGCACACATTGTATGGAAAAGTACCAGAAAATAATGCCCTGTTTTGGGAAATCTGGTATAATCCCGATAGCCGACTTAATGGCTTTTAGCCTAGACTCACGATCAGATGACTTTGGCAACCACCCAGTGACTTCATCCATTGTTGAAGGTTACTGAGCACTTAAAGGTCAAACCGTCGCAAAGCGATTAGTGTATCACCTCGACAACCCGTAAGTTTTTCCAAAAAGCGGTCAAATCAAGATAACTTTACGTAACACAATGTAGCGGTAAATAAATCCCCAAAATAAATAGCCCTGTAAGTTTTCGACATTGGATGCTGACCATATGTTTTAGTGAACTCATCTAGCTGAAGGCGCTCGGTCAGGCATCCGTACCAGATCACGCGTGTTAACGCCGTGCTCAACATCAACCGCAATCGCTAGACAGATTAGATCAGAGAATTCCGATATATTAGTCATCGCCAAATATACTCTTCCGATCTCCTCGACTCTGTCTTTTGATTTCTCTTGGTGGGAACGAAATACATAAGGTGTCACTGGTAGAAGCGTTGTCAAACACTGAATACCTGTGACATCATCAACAAGTTATCGGTGTTTATTTGCAAGCATAAGAGATCTAAAAACTAAAGCATACAAGCCAGTGAAAGTCTCACATTACTAAGAGCCGACCGAATCCAGAAGCGTAAAGGAGGAGGAACGGTAAATAAACACGCGAAATAAACAGTTTTGTAAGTCCCAGACACTTGATGTTGATCACATTATTTTCAATAGACTCACTTAGCTGAAGGCGCTCGGTCGTGCATTTGCACCAGATCACGAGTGGGAACGTCGTGTTTAACTTCTTCTGCAACCGCTAACCAGTTTAGATAAGTCGTTTCTCGATATTTGGTAAATAAAGAAGGAACGAATCAAGCATGTTTGAGAGTCCTTCCATTCGGTCGAACTCTAGATTTCCAATATAATTTTAGATACAATTTGGCTTCTATGCACTCCTTTATAAATTCAACATTTGTCTTCGTTCACTGAGCCTTGCGCTATACTTCAGATACTCGTTGAGAACCTTCAAAGCAAACGTTTGCTCATAACCTTTCATTATAGTTGCAGCGGTAAATAAATCCCCAAAACAAATAGCTCTGTAAGTTTTCGACATTGGATGCTGACCACATGTTTTAATGAACTCACCTAGCTGAAGGCATTCGGTCATGCATCCGCACCAAATCACGAGTGGAACGCCGTGCTCAACATCTACTGCAATCACTAGCCAGATTAGATCAGACGATTCTCGATATATTGATAGTCATCAAATGTATATTCCAATCTCCTCGATTCTCTCTTTCGATTTCTCTTGGTGGGTACGAGTTATATTAGGTGTTACCGGTTAAAGCGTTGTCAAACTCTGGATACCTGTGCCACCTTCATTGGTGAGCCTAACGTGATCTGGCACACCAAATCGCAAACTGTGAGTCTGTTCCTTTTTAAGATTCTATATATCATTGCCTCATCTTAATTTTATATACATTGTGATATTCTTTTTCGTGTTGTTTTGGATACATATATATTTTTCCCTCGTTCATTATCGTACTTCATATTTCATCGTGACTGAACAGACACCCAAAGTACTTAAGCTAAAGGATTTGTCCCCACCTTCGTTTCAGCTGATGCCCTACTGGCCAGACAACATCGAAGCCTTGTTTTGCTACGCAGAAGCTGACTTCTCCAAGCACGGCGTGATCGATGCACGTGCACAATTCCTTGCAGTAGTCAAGGCACTACCGCGCGAATTCAACAGGTGCGTGACACCTAGTATGTTTGCTAGTGATGTTTCTGAACCGTACGAAACCTTAAAGTGTTCCATTCTTAAACAAGAAGACCTAACCGATCAACAAAGGTTAGACCAACTCGTTAATAACATAGACCTGCAACATGGTTCTGCGATGAACATGTTGCAAAGGATGAGAGAGGTTATAAGACTAAGAACATTCGACGAAGGCCTATTCAAACAACTTTTCTTGTCCAAACTTCCCCAACAGGTGCAAGCGGTTCTGGTCTCGTTTCAGAACAACGCCTTAGACGAGCTGGCTGCATCTGCCGATCGTATCTTAGAAATTACGAAATCTTCTAATATCGAGGTTTTTCAATCAAAGAAAAGCCTCAAACAACCCAGAATGATGTAATAGAGTTATGTCATACACTTACACGTTATCTTAATTTTCGTAACGACCGTAAGCGGTCACACACCCCACGTAGAAGCACTTCGCGTAAGCGATCTGTCTCTAGACCACGAGAGACTGATAACCACTACTGGTGTTGGTATCATAACCAGTATAGAAAGTCGTCCAGAAATTGCAGAAAACCCTGCAATTTTCCCAACTCAAAACATCTGGGGAAACTTCCAAGCCGCCACGCGTTAACGGCAACCGTAGCCGGCGAACATAGCCGTCTGTTATACATCACAGATGTGACAACGAGAGTTCGCTACCTCGTCGATACTGGCGTAGAAGTTAGCGTTCTCCCAGCAAATTCTAACGACCGGCTTCACGAATCGGCTCTAAACTTACAGGCGGCAAACGGAAAGCCTATCGTTACTTATGGCAAAAGGTACGTTTACCTTAACGTGGGCTTACACAAACCCATTCACTGGATCTTCGTTGTTGCGGATGTTTCTATGCTAATCATTGGTACAGACCTTCTACAACACCATAATCTAATCATCGATACGCGCAAACGGAGGCTAGTAGACGGAAATACTAATTCATCTGTTTGCTTAACTTCTTTTCCTGGCTGCAGATTATCCCTAGTCACAAGCATACGAAAGACCCACTTTATCAACCACCACTCGACAAGTATCCTGGGATTCATTAAACGCAACCGAAAATACCGTGTGTAACCAGTAACGTTACACATCACGACTACAGGACCACTTGTATTCTCTAAAATATGATAGCTAGCCCTCGAAGAGCTAATGTCGGCGAAAAACAAGTTCGACCAAATGATAGACTTAGGAATCATACGACCGTCAAATAGCCCATATGCATCTACGTTGCACCTGGTCCCTAAAAAGGACAGCAACGATTGGCGTCCAACTGGCGACCATCGGCGATTGAATGCGAAAACCATTCTCAATCGTTACTCGCTGCCCCACATTCACGATTTCACAGCTACCTTGAAAGGTACAACTGTCTTTTCGAAAATCGACTTAGTTAAAGCGTATAACCAAATACCCATGGCCGCAAACGACATACGAAAGACAGCTATCATAACTCCCTTCGGACTCTATGAATTTTTGCGAATGCCTTTCGGTCTAAGGAATGCTGCTCAAACATTCCAAAGATTCATAGACGACGTTTTTCGAGGTCTCAACTTCGTACACGCGTATGTTGACGACTGTCTAATCGCAAGTCCGGACAGAGAAACACATCTCAAGCATCTGGACCTTGTTTTCGAACGATTACAAAAACATGGCATAACTGTAAACATTCAGAAATGTCAAATCGGGACCGACTCGTTAGATTTATTAGGACACACTATCGATGCTCAAGGTATCCGACCCCTTGAACCAAAGTTGTGGCCATTCTGGATTGCCCAGATCCGACCACGACCAAGCAATTACGAACGCTTAACGGCCTGGTAAGTTTCTATAGACGCTTCATACCGAATTGCGCATTACTTATGAAACCTCTTTCTGACGAACTTCGTGGAAATGCGAAATCCATCAAGATGGACGACACCGCACTAAAGCATTCTCCACAATTAAGGAAATTATCGCTCAGGCAACAATGCTTGCTCGTCAGGACACTGAAACACCCATTAGCATCACAGTAGACGCATCCGACTCAGCAATTGGAGGAGTCTTACAACAATGAGTTAACAACTCCTGGCAATCTTTGTCGTTTTCTTTAGACGGTTGCTAGACATTGAATCGAGGTACAGCACATCCGGTATGGAACTCCTAGGTATGTATTGTACTGTACGGCATTTTCAACACTATATCGAATGCCGTGAATTAACCCTTTTCATTGACCATAAACCTCTTACCTTGTCTTTAAGCTCCTCTTCAGACAAGTACTCGCCTCTTGAGTCTCGACAACTGGATTAAATTTCGCAGTTTACTTCTGACATCCAACACATTTCTGTAGCAAACAATGTAGTCCCAGACGCCTTGTCTCGAATAACTTCCTTGAACAGTTTCCAAGGAATCGACCTTCTTAAACTCGCCCAGCTTCAAAAGAAGACACTGATCGTCAGCACGAGTTATCGTCTACAACCGTCAAGCTACGCATCAAACAGATGGGAAAAGGTGAGGAGTCCTTACTATGTGACACATCCACGAGTAAGGATCGTCCAATCGCGCCGAAACGTTATTGACGCAATTTCTTCAATACGTTGCACAAACTTTCTCACCCAGGTGTTCGTGCAACCATCAAGCTTATAACAGAACGGTTTCGCTGGTCTGGCATGAATAAAGACGTGAGGGGGTGGGCACGCTCCTGTGTAAGCTGCCAAAAGTCTGAGGTTACCAGACATGATAGATGTTCTCTAGGCTCGTTTTGAAACTCCCGATGCTCGATTCGACCATGTTCATCTGGATTTGGTAGGACTGTAGTGGCACTGGATCATAACCACACAATCTTAAAAGCTGAACACGAGACAACTCGGAAACTAGATATTCAATATTTAGAAGGAAATCCTATCTACGTTGATTTTCCTTCGGTACAATCGAACGACACAACTCCGACACTTATAATACCTCATCCGACAGCCAACACGCACAATGATACTTCGACAGTATCACAAAATAAACTTAAAATAACGCGTTCTAGGAGAAGAGTAAGACTTCCAGAACATTTAAATGACTAATACACGTAATACACTAGCAAACATTTCGTTCCATCTCTATTTTCCATGGTATTATATATAATATAAAAATTTTTTAATACGCTTATATTTATATATATTTGTCAGTTGGCTAATATGTATATTAAAAAGATTTTAAGAACAAAAAGCATTTTCTAAAGAGCGCTTTTACGTTATTAACCTTTTTCGCCCATTTTGTGTCTTAAAGCGCGTACGAGCTTATTTCGATATGCACCTACATTTTTTTCTTTTCTAGGACGGCTGGAAAAAACGATAAAAAGAACGATGAGGTTTACGAGGGACCAAAATTTTCATTGTACATTATTTTCTTACTTCATCGTATTTCATGGTCCCTTATAGTAAGGAAAGAAGACCAGACGCTGCTAAACCTAGCAAGCTACCAGGAAAGTGTTTACCAACGACAAAAC